CAGTAACAAAGTATTTGTACTTAGTTACTCCCCATCTCTGCTTTTCAGGGATATTTACAGTAGAGCGATACGGGAAATTCTGAATCCTAATCTATGTTTATAAAATAAAATATCATTTCAGGGGTTTCTGGGAATTCTTCATGTTCTGTTTCTTTGCAAAAGGAACCTAACCATAATTGCTTCTTCTAGCTCTTGTGTCAGATGCGCACGACTGAGTAGGATGGAGCAAGTTTAGCGTTACCTTTTATATCAGAAAGTATTTATAGATCAGTGCTTCTATGTTCCTTTTGCATGCCTGCCTCTGTCACCTTGAGCCCCAGCCTTCCTCAGCAAAGGTCCGCTCACACTGAGCCTGGTTCTGCTGGAGGTTTCTTCCTGTTAAAAGGGAGTTTTTCCTCTCCACTGTCACTACAAACATGCTTAGTGTGAGGAATTGCATTCAAGTCAATGAGTCGATGCAAACAACTGGTTTTCCTTATAGAAAACTGAATCAGTTTGACTGGATGATCTAATGAACTGTAAAGTGCCTTGAGATGATGTTGTGAATTGGCACTATAGAAATAAACTGAACTGAATTAAATTAAACCAGTATCGAAATATCCAACAGTTTATGTTCATGACATGAATAAAGTGATTTCTTTCCAGTTTTGGGGTATTTATGTGATGCAATGTTACACCACGTCCCTGTGTGCTAATTTAATCCCATGTTGGGTTGGTCTCTTTCTTTGACATTCTTTCTGTAGTGTTTGCAGTTGAGGGTGATGTCAGGGCTTTGCCTCAATCTCAGCTATGCTGGGCATCTGTTCAATTGACAGCTGGCATTAGATCAAAGAAAGGAAATTCCCACATTTCTGGTAACAATACATGGATGTCTATTTTTGTTTAGGAAAAAAGGACAGCAGCTTACTGAATCAGTTTTCCCTGAAAACACCAAGTAGCCTCACTGCATAAAGTGAACTAAATGTTTCTTAAATACGATATATTTGCACTTAATTTGAGTTGGTAAGTAAAATGATCAGCCTAATGATAAAGTTTACTTCACCTAAGATAAAGGAAAAAAAACAAAGCAACATAATTGCAGTATAATAAGTTAGGGACCAAAATTGGGGCAAATCCACATATTTTCATACTTTAAAAAAATCATTTACTGGATCAAATTTTGCAATAATCTGCCTTTCCCTCATAACTGCTTCCACCGCTGATATTCCCTCATTCTTCTACTCACTGCTGGCTTCTAAAATAGGCCCTGGCTATGTCGTGTCAAGTCAAAGATGGGAAAACTTCACGAAAAACAACAAATTAAAATAAATGGTTTTTGAAGCAGATTATATAAAATAAAGCTTGCTGACACTGGAATATCATTCACATCTAAGATGTGAGGTTTCTCTTTCTAAGAACTGTTAGAATGCTACAGCTATGAGACACGTCCAACCAAGAGCACTTTACGATGATTTTTTTTTAAAACATTTTTTCTCTGTTTTAAAGTTGTTTTATGTGTAAATAAAAGGTCAACTCTTAAATTGGGGCTCCATCTTAAATGATGCAAGACGTTTAAGGCTGGTACTACTCGTCCCTCTCTTATCCAGGAGGGGTCAGCAGTGACCGACGCTTCAGTTGGAAACAGTTTCACAACATCTGAGATCTATTGGTGGTGTTTTAGAAATGCAGATAATCTTCATCCATTAAAAGCAAAGTATCAGCATCTCAAACTTAAACACTTGCACACATCATTTAATGCTGCCATTAAACAATCAGCAGCAGATCCCTTATTAACTTTTACAAAGGATATGACTCAAAGACCAGGACTAATTTAGTCATATCAGCTGATGTGAGAATATCACAAGACATAATTTTCCCTGAAAAAAGAAAAAGTACCCACCCTAAAAATAACCGAAACGACTTCAAACAAAAAGAGTAATCTGATCAGCTTTTCTTATTATTTAACATTTCTGTTGTTGTGGAAAAGGCTGTTATAAACTGAACAATTTCCAGGGAAACATGTCTGAAACTTTGTGGCTGGAATTCAGCTGTTTTTCTAAT